TATTCATTTATTTATTTAGACAGTCTCACCAAATAGTCCAGGCTGACCTTGAACTTTTTTTTTAATGTGTATTGAGTTTTTTGCCACATGTATGTATGTATGTATGTATATGACCTGTGTGTCTCGTGCCCTCGGAGGCTAAAGGAAGGCATTGATGGATGTCATGGTATTGGAGTTATAGATGATTGTGAGAAACCATATGGGTGCTGGGAATGAAACCTGACTCCTCTACAAGAGCAACAAGTGCTCTTAACTGCTGAGCCATCTCTCGGGTCCAGGGCCTGGAACTCTTAATTCTCCAGTCTCAGTCTGCCTGTTGCTAGGATTATAGGCATGCACCATCACACTGAGGTAATGGTTTTTGTTTGTTTGTTTGTTTGTTTGTTTGTTGTTTTTAGGTGCTAGGGACTTATCATAGGGCTTCATGAATGTCAAGCAAACACTCTTCCGCCCTAGACACTCTTCCAGTAGGTTCTAAAAGGGACTATACTTCTGTGTCCCCTGGGTAGATACAAGGTCTGAGTCTCCAAGCTACCTTCAACTAGGGAAGGCCCCGTGTACGTGTTATATAGCTACGTGGGGCTTGGGGATAACTTACGCTAGCAACAGAAATCAGAGAGAGAGAGAGAGACCGCAGTCCTTATGGCCTCCAATGAAAAACATTCACAGCAGAAATCAGCAGCCTTGTTCCAACCCCAGTCCCACCTTAGCAAAGAGACAGGCAACTGGATGAGCCCTCTACAGGCCTGGAGTCATCTGGGAAACCAAATAGCATGGCTACAGAGGCCGCTAAGACGTAGCACTTCCAAGTCTAAAATTCCAGAATCCAGATGATTCAGATGAAGACATCTTCCTCATTACAGCAGCTGTCAGCCCCACCCCAACTCTAGTCAATAACTTCCCACCAGGCTTACGTTTAGTTCAAAGATGGCTGCATTTAACGCCAGTGAAGTTTTTTTGTTTGGTTTGTTTTAGGGGTTTGTTTTTTGTCCTGGTTTTGTCTCATCCAGTAAAGGTACTTTGCCACCAAGCCTGGTGACCTGAGCTCTATTCCCAGGACCCACTTGGGATAAGGAGAGAACCCACTCTTACAAGTTATCCTAACCTCCAAGCATACACATGCACAAATAAATAAATGTAATTTTTGATTGATCCTGGAGGGCTAGGGAGAGTTCTGTCAGTCATGTGGTGAAGTGCTGAGTCCAATCTCCACACCCTTGGTGGGGGAGGAGGAAGAGGAGGAAGAAAAGGACAACATGGTGACTTGCTTGTAATCCCAGCACTGGGGAGGCAGATCGCTGGGGCTCGCTGGCCTGCCAGCCTAGCTGACTTGGCAAGTGGTTCTAGGCCAGTGAAAGGGGCCTAGACAAAAAATAAATAAAAGATGAGCTGAGGTCTGAGGAAGGACACCCAAGGTTGTCCTCTGGCTTCAACATGCATACCACCAGCACATACACAATCACAATGAATCCATGGAATCTTACTTCCTAAATTCCTTATTCTGGATCTGGATCTGTGTGTGTGTGTGTGTGTGTGTGTGTGTGTGTGTGTGTGTGTGTGTGTGTAAAACACTGGGGACAAGCCCAGGGTTTCAATCTTGCTAGGCCAGCTTTCTTCCACTGAAATACACATAAACACACCATTAACCCTGCTCTAGACTGGAGCTCAGCTTTGTTTTCACAGTCTCTCGGAGCTGTTCTCTTTCCTGGAACTGAGGAACATTTTATGTGTTAAAACAAGACTGGACCGAGTAGAAGTCAATACTATCTGTAACATTTCAACGGCCCCGGGTTTTTTATTTCGATGAGAGTGCTGACTTTATGTTTTCAAGAAATGATTTTCCTTTTCCTGGATTAAACACTGCAAAGAGCAGGGTAAGGAAAAATAAATAATGACATTACCAGCGTGTTCCTCCTCAATCTGCTATTAACTAGTGGTGTGGCCAGGAACAACAGCATTTAACCTTTTTTTTTTTGGTGGTGGGGGAGCAAGGACAGAGGTTCATCACTGACTTCAAACTTATTATACAGCTGAGGATGACTTTAAACTCTCCAAACTCTCCCCAGCTTCTTGCCTCCGTCTCCCGAGTGCTGGGGTTACTAGCCCCAGCCACAACACCTATACCTGGTAACCCCTAACTCCCCACCAGCAGCCTGAGGTCAAGTGGGGTCAGGGCATAAGGAAAGGGGACAAAGACTAGACACTGACTCTCCAAATCCCAGGCATTTGCTTTCCTTGGCAAAACCACAGCTTGTGCGGCTAATGAACAGCTGAAGTTAATCGGGAACAAGCCGAGGAAGGTCCACACAGGTTGCATCAAGTCCAAAGGAGCCAGAAGTTGAAGCCACAGTTCAGTTACCAGAGTATTTCGTTTGCAGTAAGCCATCTTCTGTGGCCAGCCAGACACTCAAGTTCCTTCGCAGTGCTGAGTGTGAAGGCCAGCGGGGCACCACCACGGGATGGTGGAGACTGTGGGTGCTCCCCAGTTTGGACTCTTAAGTGTCTGCCATCTGGCCAGCTAAGTCTCCTTTCCTTACCCATCAAGCGATTTATTTGGCTAATCTGAATTCTTTCTGTTTGAGACTTCCTATCTAAACTGCCCCCATTTACATCTCTGACAAAATAGAGAACAATTCCACACCGTGACCTCAGGCTAGGAATGCAGCTCAGAGGCAGGATGCCTGCCTGCCATGCTCAGGTTTGTTTTCAATCCCCAGTACTGCAAAGATAATAAAATAAAATAAAAAAGTTTAAGAAATCAAAATATGACCTCACAGAAACTGAATCATATTTACTTTAGTCTAAATGAGTTACATGTGAAATAATTTATAATTATCCTACAGGTAGTCTAGCTTACTTGGCCGGTTAAGAAAGGGCATCCTAGCCAGGTGTGGCAGTGCATGCCTTTAATCCAGCACTTGAGAAGGTGAGTCAGGTGACTCTCTGAGTCTTGAGGCCAGGCTAATCTACAGAGGAACACTGTCTCACGGAAGGAAGGGAGGGAAGGAAGGAGGGAGGGAGGAAGGAAAGAAGGAAGAAAAGGCCATCCACCTGTGCCACTCAATCGTAAACAAACAAATGTGGGAGAAAATGCTCTGCCCAAGTGCTTAAGAAAACACCAGAAGAATGCCAACCAAGATAAAGAGACGTATGTTAGCAGGAAAGAAAGTCTGGGTGGGGATGCCATACATCTTTAATCCCAGCAGACACAGATCTCTGGGAGTTTGAGGCCAGTCTGGTCTAGACAGTGAGTTCCATAAAAGAAGATTCTAGAACTGATTCTTTTCTTGATTATCTCTGACAGTCTGAACATTTCACGAAATATCATCATTGCCCGAGAACCCACACTCCAGAGTCATTGCAGGAGACTGAGTGGAAGCATGCATACACCTCCAAGTCGCCCTGGTCCTGTTCACCAGCTCCGGAGGTGGAAGACAGCCTGTCCACCCAACACCAGCACCAGGGAGGGTGTGTGTGTGTGTGTGTGTGTGTGTGTGTGTGTGTGTGTGTGTGTGTGTTCAATCCCATTCATTTGCCTTTCTTCATTCTCCACAAAGCTGTATGCTGCTCCTCCATTAATAAGGTTAGGAGGCACCCAACCACCCGGCTTCCACCATTTAAAACCCAGCTCAAAAGGCTGCCACTCCTGAAATGCATGCAAACTCCAAAGCTTGTTGATAAGGCTGGGGGCGGGGGCATGGCTGAGCTCTCCCTCTTTGGCAGCCAGGGTCGAGTGTCGTTTTGTAAACTTCAGGCTACTTTGATCTTGCCTTGGATTGTCCTAGGGTCTCACCTTAACACTGGCGCCAGATGCTAAAGGAAGATTGGTTCTCCCCTCCCCCCGCCCCCCCACTGCCATGCCTCTGGGAGCCAGCCGTAGCCTGAGTAACACAAAAGCACAAGGCTCTTTCACAAAGTAGTGAGTGGATCACATGTCTGATAGATTAAATGCACCGGATTTAAATACAAATACGTTGTGGATCGCTGATTTCATTTGTTGCCACACCAACCCACACGAGTCTGTTTCAAATTGCCTTGATTGGCTTCATGTTCTCGCTGTGAGTCCCTGGACAGACTCAAAGCATTTGTGAAATATCCAAAAAGGTGGAGAGGAGAAAGGGGAACGAAAGGGAAGCCCGGGCCAGAGTGACCCTTACTGAGTCACCGTTTCCTGAATGGCGGAGCTCGCTATTGCGGGGGGAGCGGGGGCCGGAGGGGGGGGAGGATCGGAAGAATGCAAGCTGACCTGCGCGCCGAGGCCGAGCCCTTGAGCGGAGAGCCCCCCACCCTGTAGCCCGGACACCCAGAGCCTGGCCCAGCGTGCTGGAGCGCCCTCCTGTGGCCACGCCACAAGCCCCACCACTGGGGCTCTTCCTCCGACCACGCTCCCCGCCGTGGAAGGAACGAGACACGCAGAAAGTTTCCGAGCCAGGCGGTCAGCAAAGGACAAGCCAGGTCCCGGAGGGAGCCTGGATGCTTCGGCTGGGCAGGAGCCAGCGCCCAGACCCGGGGCGACAAGAAATCGGGGGTCTAGACGGATCTCTCCTGGCCTCCGACGTGCCCCCGGGCGGGACTCTGGTCTGCAGATCCCACCCGCGCGGGATTTGTCCCTGCAAGCCTACCTTGTAAAAGGGGCATGGGGCAGTAGGTACCACCACGGCTGCAAAGCATGCTTGGGCTCTTGTTGGACTCTCTCTCTGTGCATTTGCTTAATTGGAGGGAGGGGGCGCAGCAGCTCCCTGTGACGCATTGTGGTCCTCAGTAATCTGATTCTAGATGTCCCTGAAGAGCCCACCTGGACTCCCCGACCTCACCCCCACGCCACCTTTCCCCCGTCGGGATGATGAGTGGAAACAGCGAATACCCTGCCTCCTCCCCTCCAGCCTCTAGGTTTGGGCGCCAGGGTAGCACCCGGATTTCCCAGCCGCACGCAGTGGACCCGCCGGCCGAGTGGTGGCGGCTGGAGACCAGGGGCGGGCGAGGCCCGGCGCGGTGCCTACCTCGTCCACGGTGAGCGGCATACAGATTCGGTACTCCTTCAGCAGCATGGTCCTGCCGGCCGCGGACCGCGGGGAAGAAGGGGGCGTCCCAACAGATGAGCAAGGTTGGCGCCCAGCGGAAGGCAAGGGCACTGGGAGCCGGCAGGCGAAGCAGTCCCGGCGGTGCGCTCAGCTCCTGGCTGCCTCCGGTCCGCCCCGGAGCATGTCAAGCTTCGAATCCCGGTGTCTGTGACTCCCCCGCCTCCTTCCTCGCGGAGATCAGCCCTCCCGGTATTGCAAAGTCAGGGACTGAGGGAGGGAGACCCGCGGGAGACAGCTCCGATCGACAGCCCCGGGCTGGTAGGCGCGGCCACCAGATCAGGACATGCCCGGCAGCGGGCAAGAGAAAAGGGGGAAAGATTTCCACAAATTCAAACAAATGCACAAAAGTCACCCTCTCGATCCTCGTCCGAAAGCAGAGCTGAACCTTGCGAGCCCCCTTTTCCTCCGACCCGTCTACCCTGGGCTAATGTCACCAGGAACACATTGCCGCGGGAGCCGGCGATGCTGACTTTCCAAACAAAGGCTCGCTGGTCTCCTCTCCCCGGGCGGTAAACAAGATTTCCTGCTCTTTTTTAGGGCTAGTCCCCGAGTCTCTCCAGAGCTCAGCTGGGAAAGAAAAGGGAAGCCGTGGCCGCCAGGGCTCTCCCCTGCTCTGGGCCCCGGGTGTCTCCAACCTCGGAGGGTGGCTGCCAGCGCCTTGCGCGCGTCCCCTCCCCCGAGTCCCTCGGCTCTGCGAGCGCCGTGCGTGCCCGTGAGTTTGCAGCTACCTCGCCGCGTCTGGAGAGACCGCGCGGAGCTGCAGTGTGCCTGGGGCCGGGAGGTGGGTGCGGGAGGAGCGAGCGAGACCAGGCTGACATCAGCAGCGGCCGCGGCGGGGAGGGTAGCCCCATCCGGCCAATGGGGAAATGGCAAAGAATGTGGAGGATTTAAACAAAACAGCATGTCTCTCCTTGTCTGCTGCCAGACGCCAGGGCTGTCCCGGAACCCAGAGCAGCGAGCGCCAGGGAGGATCGCAAAGAGGGGCTATCCTGGACCCCTAAAACACTGAGATCTGTGTTCAAATGTACCCGGGGTGCCACAGGGCTCTCTGCTTAGTTGCTCTGGAAACGCTCTGTTTCCAAAGTGCACAAGTGTCGCTTGACTTTGGGGGCCGGGGGGCGGGGGGGTGTCTTTACAAATGCCCATTGCGAACGTTTTTCTCTCTGACAGGGTAACAAGGCCTGAGCAAGAGAAGTGATAGTTTTGAGAATGTGTTTTTCTAACATGTTCTCGAGACGGAATCATCCAGCAGTGTGGGTGAAAACAAAGTACACATACACACACACACACACACACACACACACACACACACAGAGAGAGAGAGAGAGAGAGAGAGAGAGAGAGAGAGAGAGAGAGCCTGTCATCGGCTGCTACTACCTCTTGCACTCTGGCTCTGCAAACCTACTGCAGGCTTCCCAGAGCAGAAAGAATGGGTTTTCGTGTCAGCACTCCTAAGTTCAAAAAGTCACAGTGAAATGTCAATAAAAATGCCTTGGGTGTTGGCATTTCATCCATATTAAACAGATCTCTCATTTTAACCACAAGAAGCACATTCTTTAGTTACTCAGGAAGCAGCATGTAACTGCTGAAGTCTGGTTTTCATTTGTCTGGTATTCATTTTTTTTAAGCTTGTTTTTCTAAAAATGAAAAAAAAAAAAAGCTGCATCCGTTGCCCATAGGAGAATAATCTGTAAGCATCACTGGTTCTTGAATATATATTCCTAGATATGTATATATGTGTGTGTGCTTGTGAGATGTGGTGACCCACATCTACTCAAAGAGCTTACATTGGGCAATGTAGACTAGGCAGGCCTCAATGATATAGTATTTTTTAAATTATAATCAATAAGTCACTAAGCAATGTAATAAGAGTAGGCTGTGGCTAAAGTTGTCCAGATGGCCCAACTGAGTTTAGAGTTCAGGGAATGTGATCCAGCCTGCTAGGAAAATGACACCCTAAGTCTAGCTTATATTTTGGCTAAAAAAATAATATTTTCTAGATAAATGCTTCCCAAAGTTGTCTCACAAATACTTACAGCAGCTATTTAAAGCTGAACCAAATTCCTTGAGGTAGAGAATTTGTTTTTGTTTTTGTTTTTTTAGGATGGGATTTCTCTGGGTAGTCCTGGCTGTCCCAGAACTCACTCTATAAGCCAGGCTGGCTTCAGAACTCAGAGATCTACCTGCCTCTGTCTCCCAAGTGCTGGAATTAAAGGCGTGTGCCACCACTACCCTTCGAGGTAGAGAATTTAAATCTGACACTGTAGTGTTGAAGAATCACACAATGGAAGCCTGTGAGACCAAAAAACAAAAACAAAAACAAAACAAAAAACTCAAGCTGTTTTCCTTTTTCTTTCTTTTTTTTTTCCCCTCTTAGTGGAGTGGCACTTAATCACTTTTGAGGTTGTATATCTTCATAGATCCTCCCATGTATTTTAAATTATCTCTAGACTGCTTATACTATCTAATGCAATGTACATAGTATGTAAATAGTTGTTATACTGCATTGTTCAGAGAATAAGGACGAGGGAAACATCTGCATGTGTTCAGTACAGTACTGTTTTCTGTGTATTTCTGATGGGGGGTGGGGGCGAATCAACAGGCAAGGAACCCCCCGGCATGGCTGGCTGACTATTCTCTCCCACCTCCTTCCTGTTGCAAGGTGAGACGTGGTGGATTCTCCTTTCCCTTTTACTCAGTTCTTTATTTTCTAGTCACACTAACAATGTGCAAGCACAGCGCTAATGCTAGCACCTTGAAAGCCTTTTGGTTATGGCAGGAGGGTCCAGGCTCTGAGGCTGTCTCTCCGACATCAGCCCACTAGTATTTCCTAATCCTGATGGCTGCTTTGATCCTTCTGCTCATCCCATTGCTTTCTCAGAGAATCCTTCATGCCATCCCAGGCCTTGTGACATCATTTTAAAGGCAAGCATTGACTATCTGTGTGTAATGGAAAGTGATACTGATGGCAATATGCTGAACTGGTTAGGACACAATACCAGAGGTGACTGTATTAACATAACACTACAAGAAACATATGGGGACATATGGACTAGACATGGAACGAAGAAGAGAGGAGGAATATAAACAATCTGGGCAGAAATTAGGGCTGGCTAGTATTCATTACTATGGTTCTTGCTCTGGGGTTAGGAAAAGTTCATTCATAACTCATTTAGTTTAGGGGAGGAGAGTGCCATCTACTGTTCAAGGGTGATTGCTTGCAAATGTTTCAAGTCCTGCCTTCACCAGCAACTGCGTGACAAGAACTGTATCTTTTCTGTTTTTGTTTTTGTTTTTGTTTTTTTGAGACAGGGTTTCTCTGTAGCTGTGGCTGTCCTGAAATTCGTTCTGAAGACCAGAATGAACTTGAACGCAGAGATCCACCTGCCTCTGCCTCCCGAGTGCTGGGATTGAAGGCGTGGGACACCATTCTCGGCCATACCTTTGTTTCTCTTAAGGGTAATGAAGGGTGACACTGTCATGGCAGTAGTTGGTAAGAAGGTTCCATTAATGATGGGAAATCTGCAGTTATCAGTCATCACATATAAAAATGAGTGTAGGGCACAGAGGAAGCAAAGATAGCACATGTGTTGACTTGAGACAGACAGTACTTCATTGTAAGAGTCACTGCAAGATATTTAACAGCATTCTTGGTTTCACTTATTAAATGTGCCAACCCTCCCCAAGCAGCATTTGGCTGTGTTGGGGTGGGGGTGATGGGGAATCAGGGTAAGATTCATCAGTCATATGCCAATGTCTAGCTGCTTCAAGGTTCATTGAGACTGACTTTCAGCTTGTCCAAATAGAACTGGGAGGGGGTGGGGCTGGGGGGCTGGGGTGTAATTCAATAGAACTCATGCTCAAAGCCCTGGGTTCTTCTAGCTCTGCAATGGGAAGGAGAAAGGATTGAAGGAAGTAGATAATTTTTACAAAAAAATAGGCCTTATGGACCGGAGAGATGATGCAGTGGTGGAGAGCATTCGCTGCTCTTCTAGAAGGTGCCAGTTCATGTCAAGAGCCCTGCAGCCTAGTCTCGGATCAGCACATGAGTGCCTGTCCAGTGGATCTCCTCCAGGGAGGCAAAGCCGGTGGGGATGGTCTCTCGCTTGGCAAGGACCAGTGGACCTCAGGGCAGTGCAGGACTTTGCTCAATGCATGCAGCTTGCAGGCTCTTTTCGATCTCATTAGATTGCTGATTCCATTGACGGTTTTGAACTTCACTTCATCAATCACGCATGCAACAGCTGTAATTTCCCCCAGAAATTCTGTTCTTTCTCGAATATTTTCCCCTTAACATCAGCAGGGGGCTAATGCTTCTCAAATTTCTTATCTAGAATTACTACAACTCCTAATCCTGGGAACTTTTCTGACTCAATTGAGGCAGTTAAAATTAACAGGTCTTGCTTTCATAATTGTCCTAAGGAAAAGGTAGACAACCGGGTGGTGGTGGTGCACACCTGTAATCCCAGCACTCAGGAGGCAGAGGCAGGCGGATCTCTGTGAGTTCGAGGCCAGCCTGGGCTACAGTGTGAGTTCCAGGACAGGCTCCAAAGCTACACAGAGAAACCCTGTCTCAAAAAACCAAAAAAGAAAAAAAAATAAAGGAAAAGGAAAGGTAGACAGAACCACCTTGTGGAGAAAGAGACCCAGTGAATGGTAGGAAGTAATAGGTACGTATGAGAAAACAACACTTAGAACATTAACCATGTCTCAGTTCTGGAAGGGAGAGTAAGGCATGCATACACAGAATAGGGGGAAGCCTCAGGAATACACATAGTGCCAACTGTTTAGGGAAACTTCCCTGGACGCCAAGCATATGGAATCAATGGTAGGATCTGGTATGCTCCAAGAGGAAAAAATACAAAATATAGGATGGGTAGATCCACCTTCACCATACACAGGAGTTTATACTGGTGGAAGAAGTACAGTATAGTGGGATGGGAAAAGAGTGCCTTATCAAAGTCTGCCTTCTACAGAGAGACTGAGACATGGGACCTCTTGTAGAAAAGGGAACTGTATGAAAGCATATGTTACAGACATGAAAGAATTGTCTGGGTTTGAATATTGTTGTCCTTAAAGCATTGTACCCATGTCTATTACTTTTTAACTTTGTAATCACAGTGCTGCCAGCTGACATGAGTGATGCAGAGCAGGATGTGTCTGGCTTGATACTTAGTTAAGCCTGCAAAAAATGCTGAACTCTGTGTCTAGAATAAGGTTATGTAGGGGGTGGGAAAGTGTATTTGGGGAAGTATAAAGGGGAACAATTGGGGCTTTTATAATGATCACACCCCTTCCCTGTTTCAGGACCTGAACCCTAACTGAGGCTGGACCCAGGCAAGTTCAGTTCTTAGCCCCTACATCAGGCAGCTCCCAACTGTCTGTATCTCCAGTTGCAGGGCATCTAAATCCTCTTCTGACCTCTGAGGACATACAAACACTCATGGAAAAGACATATATATATATATATATATTATGGATATATATGGACATATATATATATATTATGGATATATATATATATCCATAATAATATTTTTTTAAAATTTATTTATTATGTATACAGTATTCTGCTTGCATGTGTCCCTGCAGGCCAGAAGAGGGCACCAGATCTCATTATAAGTGGCTGTGAGCCACCATGTGGTTGCTGGGAATTGAATTCAGGACCTCTGGAAGAGCAGTCGGTGCTCTTAACATCTGAGCCATCTCTCCAGCCCCCATAATAATAATTTTTTTTTTTTAAATCTTCCTGGGAGTAATGGTGAACACCTTTAATCCCAGCACGGGAGGCAGAGGCAGGAGGATCTTTGTGAATTCAAGGCATTGTCTATATAGCAAG